AGATATGGAAATTGTTCCTTTGACGTATACACCCTTCCTTACAAGTAGAGGGTCTGAAACAAGCTCATGTGGATATTTCTTCTGTGTTTAGACACTGATAAAAGGAGCCAGACATTCAGAGAGAAGACTGAGGGAGGGCAGAGATACTAGAAGTTGAGCAGTGGTGGGGCACGTTGAAGTCTCTGCCCAGAGTGCAGAACACCCACAACTCACTACTAGTCCAAACACCCAGCTTGAACACCAGAAAGGTCCATCTCAGAATGAAGAATTGAGCCCTAGATTAAGGCCTATAAAACCTAAAACCAAAGATTCATAATGGAGGGATTTTGGAGATTATGTTCTACCAAGTTAGACTTGAGATACATCTTGGGCTTTCCACAGACAGATCTAACAAAATGTTAAACCAAGCTTTCAAATATTCAAGATGATTAGCCTTGAACTGCCTATATGAATAAAAATCATCAGCTTTTCAGAATAAGTGAACAGAACCCAGAATCAATTACAAATCATCTATCATATAAAGTATGCAATAACAAATTAGCTTACACTTACAGTCCCAGCACTCTGGGAGGCCAAGCCAGGAAAATTGCTAGAGGCTAGGAATTCAAGACCAGCATGAGCAACATGGCAAGACCCTGTCTCTAAAAAGAATTTTTTAATTAGCCAGGCATGGTGATGCATGCCTGTAATCCTAGCTGCTCAGGAGGTTAAGGCAGGAGGATTGAACCCAGGAGTTTGAGACTTCAGTGAGCTATGACTGCACTGTGCACCACCACACTCCAGCCTGGGCAACAGAGCAAGATCCTGACTCTAAAAAATAAGTAAAAAAAAAACAAAGAAGTTACTAGACATTCAAAGAAGGGAAAGTGTGACCCAGAGTCCAGGAAAATGATAACAGTAAAATAAATAAATAAATCTCAAGATGCCCCAAAGGCTTCAAAGTAGGTATTTTAAATATATACAAAGCACCAAAAGAAAAGGTTAAAGAATTAAAGGAAAATGTAGTTTTAAGGAGAACAAGCAGAAAAAAAAAATGAAATAGTGCCTGAACATTTCCCATATTTCATGAAAAAACATTCACCTACAATCTGAGCAGCTTAGAAAGCTCCTATGAGAATGCACTGAAAGAAAATCAAACCCATGCACATCATAGTCAAACTGCTGAAAGTCAAAAAGAAAATATTGAAATAGTAAAAAAAATTATATACCATGTATTAAATTTAGAGAAATGATAGAGATAATGGCTGATTTTTCACTAGAAACAATGGAAGCAAGAAAGCAACTGTAACATCCAAATCCAAATTTTACATCAAGTGACAATGCCCTTCAAAAATGAAGGTGACTACACATTCAATATAATCCCTACCAAAATTCCAATGAAATTTTTCAAGGAAATAGAAAAAAACCCTTAAAATTATATGGAAACAAAAAAGATCCCAAATAGCTAAAGCAGGCCTCAGCAAAAACAACAATGCATCATACTACCTGAGATCCAAATCCATTACAATGCTACAATAATCAAAACAGTGTGGTACTGGCATACACACACACAGGCCAACAGAACAGAGAGCCCAGAAATAAAACCCCAGTATATACAGCTATACAGTATATGCAGTTATGTAGGTAGAATAAATCTAAGATCTAACATATTACATGAAGACTACAGTTAATAATATTGTATTGTATGCCGGCATCTTCTCAAGAGAATAGGTTTTAGGTACTTTTGCACACACACACACAAACTGATGCCATGTTAATTTGCTTGACTATAGTAATCACTAGAATATCCAGCATCGTGTTCTGTATACTTTTCATGCAGTATATCAAACCATCATACTATATACCTTAAATAATACAACAAAAATTAAAACAAAAAGCCAAGGGTAGAATAAAAACATGCTTGAGTCAATGAAACCCTGAGATAATAATCTGACAAAAGAGCTGCACTACAAGAAATACAAATGTTCTTCAGGCTGAAGGGAAATACTAGATAGAAATCTGGATCTACAGGAAGAAAAGGCAAAATGAAATTAATTTCTTAAAACAACTGAATGCTTAGAGCATGGGTGAGCAGGTAAAAGGAATTATACAGTTGTAAAGCTAGTTATGAAATGGTGAGTACAAAATGTGAAGTAGGAAATGTGAAATGTCAGGGGTAAAGTGCTACAATGTGGACTCTAAATAGACTGTTAGCCGGGAGTGGTGGCTCATGCCTGTAATCCCAGCACTTTGGGAGGCGGAGGCAAGAGGATTGCCTGAGCTCAGGGGTTCGAGACCAGCCTGGGCAACATGACAAGACCTTGTCTGTACAATAAATAAAAAAAAAATTAGTCGGGAAAGGTGACACATGCCTGTGGATTCCAGCTACTTGGAAGGCTAAGGCGGAAGGATCGCCTGAGCCCAGCAGGTTGATGCTGCAGCCTGGGTGACAGAGCGAGACTCTGACATTAAAAAAAAAATAAAAAAAAGTCTAATATGTTAAGGATTCATACTATTAGCCCTAAAACAGCAGTACTCAAACTTTCTATTCTCTTTATACTCATAAACTATGGAGATTCTCAGAGCTTTTATTTATGTGGTTATACTTATCAACATTCACCATGTTGGAAATTAAAACTGAGAGAACCGACCCTAGCCTCCTCTTTGAGATACCCTTGCTCTGCCCAGATCACCACCCTTTACCATCTTTCTTGGTTGGGGAGGACTTGAGGCAATCGTGTATTCTTCTCTTCCATCCCAGTGAGGTCATTCAACATCATTTCTACTTTCCCTCGTGCAGGCTGAGCAGGATGGCCAAACAGACTCCTTCCAGCGGTCATCCCACCCCTAACCTACGCAGGAATAGCAAACTGAAAACGACTCATGCAAGAAAACACTTTCACAAGAACTAAAATTCAGGTGTAAGATCACAGCACCTGATTTTAGCATGGCAACAAGAAAAGCAGCATGGAAGAGTATTGCATTGCCTACACCACCTCTCCTCCAACACCGGGCAGCACCGCACAGAGAGAGGGAGTCTGCGTGCTTGGAGGAAGAGAGAGGGAGGAAGTGTGGGACTCTGCATTGGAACTCTGCCACCACACCACAGTGGAACCCAGCACCAAGGCTCGTGGTTCCAGGCTGATGCCCATGAAGAGAATATTTACACCTGCCCCAAACCCAGGGAAAGAAAACCAAGTCCCAGCCTGTTTCACCACCAGCTGCCTCAGGCCCCAGACAAACTTCAGTAGCAGCCAGAACATAGCAACAGAGGTCCTCTGACGAGTCCAAGTGCTATGTTGGTCTGAGAGGCTGTGGGCTAGGGGTGCGCCCCAGTATGGTGAGAGCGATCGCAGTCATGGCAGACTGTGCCACCCCTCCCCCAACTCTGAGCAGGTGAACACAGAGACTCCTTCCATTTCAGAAAGAGTGAAGTGAACCAAGAACTTGATCTGGGAACCCAGGGATTTTCCCCTTATCTTCCCAAGTCCATCAGGACTGGGTATCTAGGATTCTGAAAGATTCACTTTCTACCTGGGCTTAGGGTGCCCTATAGTGCAGAAAGAGTAGCAGTGACTACAGGCTTAGCACATGCAACAGTCACTCCCCTTCTGAACTCTTGGAAGGCCCTCTAAAGACAGGCAGGTGCAAACAAAGCCAGACTGTGAAAACTGGAATACCTAATATTTAATTGCTCACACACCAACAAATATCTACAAGCATCACAAACATTCAGGGAAATATGATCTCACCAAATGGACTAACCACAACAACATGACCAACACTGGTGGGACAATGTGTGAGCTCTCAGACAAGAAATCCAAAATAAACGTTTTTGAGGAAGCTAAGTGAACTTCAAGAAAACACAGAGATGTAATCAGAAACTGAACAGCGATATTTAACAGACTGAAATAATTTTTAAAAAACCAAATAGAGATTCTAGAGCTGAAAAATGCAATTGATAAACTGAAAAATGCATCAGAGTGTCTCCACAGCAGAGTCTCTAGGACAGTGGTCTAGCAAAGACTTAATGGTTAAGATGCCAATAACACAGGCAACAAAAATAAATGAATGAATGAAAGAAAAAAGAATCAATAGAATATACCAGAGTGTCTCTACAGCAAAATCTCTAGAACAGTAGTCTAGCAAAGACTTTATGGTTAAGATGTCAATAGCAGGCTAAATAAATAAATGAAAAAAGAATCAACAGAGTGAATGAATAACCTACTGAATGGAAGAAAATATTTGCACACTATCTGTTCAATAAGGGATTAATAACCACAATATATAAGGACAACTTAATAACAACAACAAAAAAATCAGATTACAAAATGGGAAAAAGATCAGAGTATGGTTCTCACAAGGCTAAGATGAGCCTTCTAGAGGCAGATGTCAGATTTCCTTACTTTTCCACCTAAAGCATCCATCCCTGTTTCTTCCTCCAAAGCTATCAAGCTGTGGGGAGGAAGATCGAAGATCTCCCGACCAATGTGAAACTTGGCTTATTTAGAAGCTCAGGAGTAGGAAGAGGTGGTTAGTTTTTCTTTTTACTCCTAGGCCAAACCCTGTACAGATGAATTTTAGGATATGTTTTAAAATAGGGTTCATTTCACAGCAACCTGGATGGACTTAGAGTCTATACTACTGAGTGATCTTTCACAGAAACAAAGAACTGAGTATCACATGTTCTCACTCATAAGCGGACCTTGAACATTTATCATACAATAAAAGTGATTGGCAGTAATGGGAAACTGCAGGGGGGGGGCAGGGAAGCAGGACTGGCAGTAGTGGGAATCTGCCTGGGGAAGGGGGGGCACACCTCATTAACAAGAGCACCTGCATAATGAGCGTTTATATACCTAACTCTGAATTGTACCCCACATCCTTAAAATAAAAAATAAAATAAAATAGGGTTCACTACTGAGTCTCAGGTGAGACTGTGATTTTCTTCTCAATGAAAGGAGTTATTTTATTATTTTACAATCAGGTTGTTTCTCAAAACTCAGAGGGTAGTAATGGAGGAGGCAAGGTATAAGGCTTTTATTGAAAGTTTAATTATTCAAACTTGGCATGAAATGTACTTATTTATGTCTAATGATAAGTCAAATACAAAAACATATAACATATCTATAGTTGAACAACCCTTTCCCTATGAAGGCAGAATTATTGAGAAGTGTTTATTTTTCCCCTCAAAATGGCTAATCCAGGTATAGCTGCAGGTGGTAAATTCACATTGCTTTCTTCATTGCTTCTCCTCATTAAGCCCACAAATCTTTCAAAACCACATTACTGAGGTGTTGGCCTGTTGGAAACATAGATATCCAGGTCTTACAGGTCCAGGGCCCAGTGGACAGAAAGGCCCTTGTCCTCCACGCTGGCCACCATGTCTTCAATGGCCTTCCAGTCAAGCTTGCTGAGGATGCTGCCAGTGCTCTCAGACCTGCTGTCCGTGCCACCCACCCCAGTAGGAGGGTCTGGCTCTTCTTCAGTAGGTGACAAGTCCTGTTGCATTGAGAAGACAGTCAGTCGTAGTGCTAGCCCCTAAGAAAAAAGAACTAGAACATGAGCTAAACTTCCCCAAAATTCTAGAGCTGTTCATCCATCAGAGGGCTGAAGGATATAGGAAGTGAAACAGGGCTGTGGTTGCCCAGCACATCAATACTGACGATGAGCTGAACATCATCAGACACAATTAGATGCCGGCACCAGCTCTGAAGAGAGGGCAGAGTGGATTTTCATACCTGTAGTATAATGATCTGTTCTTACATTTTTGCTGCTTTTTAGTTAAAAAGAAAACACAAAGGAGGATTGTGAAAGATAAACACTGGAGTACTAAGCCAAAAGGGTAAAAGCTCTGAATCACTATTTCAAACCAACCTAACAATCTTTCAGTATTTCTACACACACACACACACACACACACACACACACACAGAGCAATCACTAGACAAACAAATCTGGAACAATGCTTACTCGCAGAAGGGAGTCATGACTCTCATGAAGAAGCTTATGGATTTCTGAAGGCAACGTCCAGGGACTCACCACCGTCTCCTCTCTCTCATACTCGATGCACACCTGCTTGGCTTGGGGCACAAGTCCAGCTCTTCCATGTCTTTTTGTACGCTGTGGACTACGACATGGAGCATGAAAGCCTTTTAAGAGAGCAGAAAAAGCATACATTGGAAATGACTTATTCATTCATTCGTTAATTTATCTGAACTGACATCATCACAGCCAAAGCAGACAAATTTTACCTGATATTTGAATTGCAAGGTCTGAGTAAGGTTCATATCAGGGTTCCAACAATTCCTGTCCTGTCGGTGTGTGAGATGGAAATTGAATTCTGGCCTTCTTTTGATTTGAAAAGTAATGATAATCTCTAGGATAGCGCATAGGGAGGAGAGGTCACAGATGAGGCAGAACTATGGATAAGTCTCAATGTTCAAGTTGGGTAAACTTGGTGACTGGGCCTTCCCTGCTTTTATGGAAAGTCTTGTGGAAGCTTCCTTGCAATGTTTTAGTTATCTTCACACAGGTTTCATGCCTACAGTCTGCCTTTGGGCACAGGTGTCAGGGTAACTGCAGTGACAAAACATTATGACCCTCTTCCTCCTTACTGCATATATCAGTATTTGTTGAAAAGAAACTTTCATTCCAGCTGGTGCCCAGAGGCAGCTTAGTAAGCCCATAAACCACAGGACTTCTCTGCAGAAGGCCCTATAGGAGCTTGCCCCACCTAAGACATTTAATGTTCCAAAGTCAATGCCTCAGTACATTCTACCCCTTGCAAGGCGCCCTCTTTAAGAAACACCCAGGACATGGAGGAAGGTGTGAAGTAAACAGGTACCCAACAAGCAGTCATGTGGCTCCCTAAAGAGGGGGAAAGAGGTAAAGGGAGTACTGAAGTTTGGACCCATCTGGCCTTTTATGGCTCTACAACCTTAAGTACCTGAAGCTGAGGATATCTCCAGAAAATAAGCCCCCTAAAAAAATAACAGTACATATTCTGGCCTTTAGTATAGGCTAAGTCCTGGGCCTGCATTCGGTGCCTTGAACCTACCAGAGTGCCCCAGGCCTGGTCTTTGGGTCTCTGCTCCCCACTCTAGCTGACTTCATTCAGCTGACTCCTGATATCATCTACTCACCGACATCTCCCTCAAACCTGTACCTCTAGTCTCAGAATTAACTGCCTTCTGGACATCTATATCTAAATGTGCGATAAACACCTGAACTTTAACATATCCAAAACCAAACTGCTAACTTTTGCCACAAACTTCCTGGCCCAGGAAATGCTCGGGTTAAAATCCAGTTGTTCTTCATCTTTCTGTCTTATACCTACCACATCCAATCCACCAGCAAATCCTACTTTGGTCTACCTTAAAAATATATCCCGAATCTAGTAATTTCCCCCCATTTCTAGCCCATGCTACCTCTCTTTGTCGTCTTCTGTTTTTTTCTCATGTGTTTTGAAACATAAATTATATTACCTCCCTGCTTAATTCCCTATAATAGGGTCTCAGTGGATCCAGAGTAAAACCCAATCTCTGTCTCACCCTAGCCCATCTAGCCAGCCATGTACCTGGCCACTTTTCCACACTGTTCTGACATATCAAGCTTGTTTCTGTACCAGGGCTTCAAATGTACGATTCTTTCTGCCTTATCTTTACATGACAATCTCCTTTTCATCACTTCTGATCCTCAGTCCAACATCCCCTTCTCAGAGTCCTTTAACCACTCTAGCTAAAGCAGCTCCACCTAGATAGTCACTCTCTCCCTGATTCATGTGCTGCTGCCTGTGTTGTTCCTGCCTAACAGAGCCTGGCAGGTGGTGGGAACTCAATGGATAGTTGCTGAGTGAATATTCCTCTTGACAGTTTTATGGGGAAAGCGTTGTTTATCCCCACTTTGCAAACGAGGAAAGTGAGGTTTCAGAGGTTGTGTAATTTGCCCAGGATGATGGAGATGATCTTCCCCAACAACTGGGCTAATGTATTCACTTTCTATTCTTTAGGGTTAGGGGGCAACAGTACTCAATGAACCCTTTAAGACAATCTTCATGAATGGACCTATTTATTTGGATCCCCAAGGCAGCAGCTTTCCAAAAGCTTCTTTCTTTAAGTATCAAGAGAAGAGGGTAGTGGGTGCAAGAGGGATTAGGAATTTCTTTTTTTTTTTTTTGGACAAGCCCCAAGAGTCTGAAAGAGAGTCTGAAAGTTAACATCATTCAGTAACACTTGCCATTTTAACATCCAATGTGAGAGCTGTGCTCTAGCTGAAAAGGGTTTGACTTTTTTTCTATTTAAAGACAGCACAAAGCCGGGCTAAGTGGCTCAGCCTGCAATCCCATGCCTTTGAGAGGCTGAGGTGAGTGGATTGCTTGAGCCCGTGGGTTCGAGACCTGCCTGGGCAACTTGGCGAGACCTCATCTCTACAATAAATCAAAAAATTAGCTGGGTGTCGTAGTGCTCGCCTGTAGCTACTTGGAAGGCTGAGGCGGAAGGATCGCCAGAGCCCAGCAGGTTGAGGCTGCGGTGGCCGGGTGCGTGCCACTGCCCTCCAGCCTGGGCGACAGAGTGAGACTCCAACTCAGGGAAAAAAAAAAAAAAGCACAGAGTATTATGAGATGCCACTGAAAGTTCCATTTTAAAATAATTATTTCAGTAAATGTTAATAGGGAATAAATTTTGAAAAAGTTTATGAAAGAAAAAAAATCCATGATCAGACAAATGGGAATGTATATGTGAACAAACACTAGTAAAAAAGAAAACAGCTGTTAAGACACAGAAAAAGTGAGACTGAAAGAGAAACCAACAATTGGTTAAGCAATTTAACCATAAGAACAGGCTTCCTTTCTGAAGCAGGTAGAAACAAATGGAGGCAGGCTGCTGAAGTCAGTCCTGCAAGTATTCAGGCTACCATGAGAGAGTAGTAAAGGCCATAAACACCAACTAATTCCACCCCCAACTCTGCTACATTTAATTCAGTATCTAGACAAAAAACTCTAGCTTTGTCAAATGAACTTAATTATTGCCATCTAGAAATCAAACCACCCTGTGGGCTGCTGAAATAAAGGTTACAGTTCCGCATTTTAGGATACACCTTCACCTTTGGGGCATCTATAAATCTTCAGAGGCTGTTACTGGCTTCCTCTCACCTTGCTTTACCCAGGGCTGGCTCTGTAACTTCCTTCTCTTCGGGTTAGAATACATTTCTCTGAGATTTATTCAGAATATCCATTTAGAGATAATAATAGAACATGTGAAAAATTCTATGAAACTGAGCATGTGTAAAGTGTTTCAAGGTGAGGTGCTCCTGCCCCAGTGTGGACAGTGTAAGCTTTCTAAGGTGAAAGAATGCCCATTGTAGAAACCAGACTGCCAAGTACACCAGCTTCCCTCAGAAAGGAGGCACTCTTTTTCTGTAAGGCAGTGGGCATGGCTACTGTTTCTTTAAAACATATTGCTAAACCGTGTCTCCAGAGACTAGCTTGAGAAATCTGAAGCTGAATGATAAAACTAAACCCGTTACCTCCACCACCCCTAAAAGAAAACTCTGCTTCTCCCCCTGCCCTCCGTGTGTCAGTTAGTACACCACAGTGTAGCTAAGCACCCAAGCTAGAAACCTGAAGTCATACACAATTTTTTCTCTCCGCTGAACAATGAAACAAATATCTAAGGCTTTCTATGGGCAAGGCCTTATGTTAGATCATAACGTACTTCAAGAACACAAAACTCTGGATTTCTGGAGCTTTCAGAAACAATACAATAAAAATGTACATATGGTTTCAAATGTTTTTAGGGGTAACATTGTATTTTGGAGAATTTTGTCTGTTGAATTACATTTTGCTAGATATTTGCTTTGAAAGAAAGAAAAAACTAGCTTGGTATTATAAAATAAAAGCACAGGAAATAATGCTTCTAGGAATCAAATTGATCCTAATAATTAGAAGCTTGGATTTTTATTTTATTGACTGACTGACTGATTGACAGGGTCTCATTCTATTGCCCAGGCAGGAGTCTCATGTCGCCTAGGTTGGTCTTGAACTTCTGGTCTCAAGAAATCCTTCTACCTTGGCCTTTCAAAGTGCTGGGACTGTAGGCATCAGCATGCATGTCCAGCCTAGAGGCCTGGATTTTAATGCATACATGGGGAAAAGAACAGAAAAAAATAATCGAACAGTTCTAGAAAATATAGCCATTGACATTAAAAACTTGATCAATGCGTTAAATAGCAAATTAGATATAGCTGAAAAGAAATGTGATAAACTGAAAGATGTACCTGCAAAGAAATGAGTTAACAGTGTCAGTTACTATTTTTACTGGTCCAAAAAGCTCTAAGCAGGCCACATTAACTTCCCTGAGCCTGTTTCCTCAGCAGTAAGACGAGGATGACGGTTGTCCTGCCTCCCTACCAGGTTGTTACACATGTCCTATTACAATCTGTATGTTGCAGGTCAGAAAACTGAGGCTTACATAAATGGGTTAGGATTTACTCAAGGTTCCAAAAGTAAGTGAACTAGAATTCCAAAAAAGCAATCCCAAAGCCTCATCTTGGAACCACTGCAGCACACAGCCACACCCTTCATTCTAAAATCTGTATTTGAAATTCTAAGAGAGACTAATGATTCTTAAAAATTTAGTATTACGCCGGGCTCGGTGGCTCAGCCTGTAATCCCACGCTTTGGGAGGCTGAAGTGAATGGATTGCCTGAGCCCGCGGGTTCGAGACCCGCCTGGGCAACTTGGCGAGACCTCATCTCTATCATAAATAAAAAATTAGCCAGGCGTGGTAGCGCGTGCCTGTAGTTCCAGCTACTCGGAAGGCTAAGGTGGAAGGATCGCCGGAACCCAGCAGGTCGAGGCTGTCTGGGCGAGAGTGAGAATCCGACTCAAAAAAAAAAAAATTACTATTACATCTAGGAACTTTCTATTCTTTATCCCTTACCTTTTTGGAAGATAACTGAAGACTGCGCAGCCTTTCTTACTACTGCTTTGGCTCCTCCAGCTTTTTTCTGTATGGTAAAAGTGGCAGCTCCTGTACAGACAGGTAAGTGTCTTTAACCTTCTGTGCACATCCATGATTTTGCACATGTCATATTGTAAGTTCTTTGAGGACAGAAAACTTCTCCTGATCAGCTCTGAATCTTTTCACCAAGCTTTGCTCACTACAGGGGTCCAATAAACGGAGGCTGATTTGAACCAAGAAAGTAAAACAAAAGTGCAGACAAAGGAAGGGAACACTCTGCTTTGAGACTTGGTGTCCTTAGAGCACAATCAGGGTCCTATTTCAAATAGCAAATGTGTTTTGACATCTCTGGCAACTGGCAAAACTAGAAATATAATAAGACTATTAGCAGTAATCACCTAGACAAAATGCCAAATTAAATTTTATCAAGAGAAGGATTAAAGTTTATAAAATATTAATAGCAACAATTTACTGTCTGTGTTATGCAAATTGTTTTACTTATAATCTTCAACAACTCTTTGAGCTAAGGTGGTTTTGTTTGTTTTTTAAAGAGAGGGTCTTGCTCTATCACCCAGGCTGGAGTGTACTGGTGCGATCACAGCTCACTGTTACTTCAAACTCCTGGGCTCAAGCAATCCTCCTGCTTCAGCCTCCCAAGTAGCTGGGACCACATGTGCCACCATACCTGGCTAAGTTTCAGACTGGAGTGCAGTGGCCGCTCCCGGCCACCGCAGCCTCGACCTGCTGGGCTCCGGCGATCCTTCCGCCTCAGCCTTCCAAGTAGCTGGAACTACAGGTGCATGCTACCACACCTGGCTTATTTATTTATTTATTGTAGAGTTGAGGGCTTGCCAAGCTGCCCAGGCAGGTCTCAAACCCGCAGGCTCAGGAAATCCACTCACCTCAGCCTCCCAAAGCACGGGATTACAGAGTAAGCCACCAAGCCCGGCCCCGGCTAAGCTTTTAATTTTTTGTACAGACAGGGTCTTGCTATGTTGCCTAGTCTCAAACTTCTGGCCTCAAGAAATCCACCCACCTCAGTCCCCTACAACACTGGGATTACAGGTGTGAATGACCATGCCTGGCCTATGAAGTCTTATTTATTTATTATTTTATTTCAATAGCTTTAGGGGGTACATGGTTGCACTGTACAGTGGCAAAGAAGTCTAAGCTTTAAGTGTACTCACCACTCCTGCCTGAGTACACTGTACCTGTAGATGCTTTTTATCCTTCCACCCCTTTTCTCCTCCCGCTTCTGGGTCTACAATGTCTATTATATTCTCTCTGCCTTTGCAGATCCTTAGTTTAGCTCCTACTTGTAAGTGGGAACATGTGGGGTTTGGTCTTCTCCTGTGTTAGTTCACTTGGATGATGGTCTTTAATTCCTTCCAAGTTGCTGCAAAATACATTATTTCATTCCTTTTGATGGCTGAATAGTATTCCATAGACGATATAAACCACATTTTCATTATCCACTCATCAGTTGATGGGCATTTAGGTTGATTCTATATCTTTGCAATTGTGAATTATGCTATAATGAACACACAAGTGCAGGTGTCTTTTTTGTATAACGACTCTGTTCCTTTGGGTAGATACCAAGTAATAGGATTGCTGAATCATTGGTAAATCCACTTCTAGTTCTTTGGAAAACCTCCATACCAATTTCCATAGAGGTTATATGAACTTACATTCCCATCAACAGTGTATAAGTGTTCCCTTTTCACTGCATTCATGTAAGCACTTATTGTTTTTTTGATTTTGTTGATGACCATCCTGACTGGTATATGGTGGATCTCATTGTGGTTTTAATTTGCATTTCTCTGATAATGAGTGATTTTGAGCATTTTTCTTTTCTTTTCTTTTTTTTTGAGTTGGAGTCTCACTCTGTCACCCAGACTGGAGTGACCTTGACCGCTGGGCTCCGGTGATCCTTCTGCCTCAGCCTTCCAGGTAGCTGGAACTACAGGCGTGCACTACTATGCCCGGCTAGTTTTTTTGATTTATTGTAGAGACGAGGTCTCGCCAAGTTGCCCAGGTGGGTCTCGAACCCGCAGGCTCAGGTAATCCACTCGCCTCGGCATCCCAAAGTGCTAGAATTACAGGCTGAGCCACCAAGCCCGGCTGATCCTGAACATTTTTCATATGTTCATTGGCCATTTGTATATCTTCTTTTGAGAGATATCTGTTAATGTCATTTGCCCAGTTTATAATGAGGTCATTTGCTTTTTTCTAGCTGATTTGTTTGAGTTCTTTATAGATTCTGGATATTAGCCCTCTGTCAGATGATAGTTTGTGAATATCTCCTCCCATTCTATAGGGTGCCTATTTGCTCTGTTGATTATTTATTTTGCTGTACAGAAGCTTTTTAGTTTAATTAGGTTCCACTTATTTATTTTTGTTTTTTGCTGCATTTACTTTGAGGGCTTTAGCTACAAATTCCTTGCCTAAGACAGTATCTAAAACAGTTTTTCTTCTAGGATTTTTATGCTTTTAGGTCAGACATTTAAGTCTTTAATCCATTTTGAGTTAATTTTTGTATATGGAGAGAGAAAGGGATCAAGTTTTATTTTTCTGCATGTAGCTATCCAATTTTCCCAGCACCATTTGTTGACCAGGGTCTCTTGCTCAGTGTATGTTTTTGTCTGCTTTGCCAAAGATCAGTTGGTTGTAGGTATTTGGATTTATTTCTGGATTCTCTATTCTGTTCCATTGGTCCATATGTCTGCTCTTGTATCAGTACCATGCTGATTTGGGTTACTACAGCCTTACAGTATAGTTTGATGCCATGTAATGTGATGCCTCCAGCTTTGTCTTTTTTGCTTAGGATGGCATGGCTGTACTGGCTCTTTTTTGGTTCCATATAAATTTTAGGACTGTTTTTTCCAATTCTGTGTAAAATGATATTAGTTTGACAGGGATTGCACTGAAGCTGTAGAATACTTTGGGTATATTTTAACAATGTTGATTCTTCCAATCCATGAGCGTGGGCTGTTTCTCCACTTGTTTGTGTCCTCTATGAATTCTTTCATCAATGTTTTGTAGTTCTTCTTGTAGAAGACCTTTCTTTTTTTTTTTTTGAGTTGGAGTCTCACTCTGTCACCCAGACTGGAGTGCAGTGGCCGCTCCCGGCCACCGCAGCCTCGACCTGCTGGGCTCTGGCGATCTTTCTGCCTCAGCCTTACAAGTAGCTGGAACTACAGGTGCCCGCTACCACACCCGGCTAATTTTTTTATTTATTATAAAGATGAGGTCTCTCCAAGTTGCCCAGGCAGGTCTCGAACCTGCGGGCTCAGGCAATCTACTCACCTCAGCCTCCCAAAGGCGTGGGATTACAGGCTGAGCCACCGAGCCCGGCTAGGAGGATTCTTAACAGTTTGCAAGTGGGGTTGAGGAAATTAGCCAGAAATTGAATATTGCTTTGCAAAACAGATAGCAATATATAGTCAAACTCACAGATGTGTCCAGAAAAAACTCTTCTATTACAAATAAGCAGTGATTTAAAAAATCTTAGTGGTTCTCACTCATAAGCGACCTTGAACAATACTATAAGAAAAGGTTTGGCAGTAGCAGGAGACTGCTGGGGGGCAGGAGGCAGCTTTGGCAGTAGTGGGAATCTGCCTGGGGAATGGGGTCACACCTCATCAACAAGGGTACCTGCATAATGAACATTTGTATACCTAACCCTGAATTGTATCCCACATCTTTAAAATAAAAAAATTAAAAGTTCAAAAAAATAAAAAGTTCAAAAAAATATCTTAACGGATCCTCACCTTCCTACATGTGTACAATGACTGAACTTGTCCTACATGAGGTTAACCCTATGTGAGCCTGGGATCCATTATGCCAGGGTTTCCCTCCCATTCTCCCACAAGGTTAGGAGACCTAAAGCTTCTGAATGCAACTAGGTGAAGTGGTTGGGTACTGGGTGTGGTAGAGTCAACAAGAACAAGGGGAGTCAGAGTCTGCACTATTGAGTCAGTTAAAGAAGTTAGAATATCCACAAGTCCCTCGAGTTGCCTTAAAAATCTGGGGAAGCTAAGTGACAGCTTGGCTAGGATAATAGCCAGGCATACGGTATTGTTGTCTGACATGGTCTAAATACTATATTACCTATCAATATCCTTTAACAGGGCCGGGCACAGTGGCTCATGCCTATAATCCCAACCCTTTGGCAGGCCATGGTGGAGGATTACTTGAGCCCAGTAGTTCAAGACCCGTCTGCACATTATAGCAGGACCATGTGTCTACAAAAAAATTTAAAAATTAGCTGGGAATGGCAATGCACAACTCTAGTCCCAGCTACTCAGGAAGCTGAGGCCAAAGTATCCCCTAAGCCCAGTGGGTTAAGGCTGCAGTGAGCTGTGATGGCACCACTGTACTCCAGCCTGGGCAACAGTGAGACCCTGACTCAAAAAATAAATATATCCTTTAGCAACAACTTGTTTACAAATAGCTATGTTTAGGTAGAAAAGCTAAATAAGCATTTTTTCACTTATCCAATTATTCAAGTATTTAATGTGTTCAATGTGAGGGGTAATACAGAGATGAGTAAGAGAATATTGCTATGCTCAAATATATATATTTTGGGTCAGAGTCTCACTGTGTCACTGATGCTGGAGTGCAGTAGCATAATCACAGCTCACCACAGCCTAGAAGCTCCTGGGCTCAAGTGATCCTTCTGCCTCAGCCTCCTGAGTAGCTAGGACTACAGATGTATGCCACTACACCTGGCTAACGTTTTTTTTTCTTTTTTTGTAGAGACAAGGGACACTGCATCCAACCTGCGTAAAACATTTAATCTAGTATGGGGCATAAAATGTTTACAAGTAACCACAACATAAGGCCTCTTGTTGTAGTACGTCAAGACGTGTTCGTGGGCTCAAAGGCAGAAAAAAAGGTGCTTCAGCCACCATTTATCTCTCATCTTCACCATATAAATTAAATACTGGCCTCAATTTAGAAATGAGAATGCAAGGCTGGGCTTGGTGGCTCAGCCTGTAATCCCAGCATTTTGGAAGGCCGAGGTGAGTGGATTGGGTGATTGAGACCAGCTCAGGCAGCTTGGTGAGATCTCGTCTCTACAATAAAATCAAAAAATTAGTGGGGCATGGTAGCGCACACCTATAGTTCTTGCTACTTGGAAGCCTAGGCAGAAGGATCACCAGAGCCCAGCAGATAGATGCTGGGGTGGCTGTGAGCGTGCCACCGCACTCCAGCCTGGGTGACAGAGTGAGACACCAACTCAAAAAAAAAAAAAAACAAAGAAAAAGAAAAAGAAATGAGAATGCAGAACTTAAAATTTAAGCCAGGTACAGTGGCTCACACCTATAACCCCTGCACTTTGGAAGGCCAAGGTGAGAGGATTGCCTGAGCCCAGGAGTTTCAGACCAGTCAAACCAACACAGGGAGACCCTGTCCCTACAAAAAAAAAAATTAGCTGGGCATTGTGGTTCATGCCTATAGTCTCAGCTATATGGGAGGCTGAGGTGGAAGGATAGTATGAGCCCAGGAGGTTGAGGCTGTGGTGAACTATGATCGTGTCACTGCATTTCTGCCTGGGCAACGGTGAGATCTCAACTCAAAAAAAAAAGATTATTTCAGGTTGGGAGAACAAAAGAATTAAGATTAGGAATGTTTTCAAAGACACAAGTGAGACACTCAAGGTATAAGGTAGAATCTCAACTGAGGAATGGAAACACAAAGCATGCCATGTGGTTGGAAAACAAACTGTTACACAGCACAGATTGCATGACGAAAGGAGGCTACGGAAGCAGATGGGGAACACATGGAGGATGCCCTGCAGGTCAGGTAGGGTCTTGACTTATCTGTGTGGGTGTGAGAGTTACTGAGGGATCTGAGCCCAGAAGTAGCAGGAGCATCTCATCAAGCACAGTCCAGTAAGGGTAGGTGAGATGAACGGAAAGATAGGTTGAGGACACAGCACCAGCCAAAATACCAGCTAAAAAAACAAAGGCCCAAAATTGGACAGGCAGAAGAGGAAGGCATATTTCCATATAATCCAAGATTTTTTCATCAGATATTAAGAAAACATGGTTTTGGTGTTAAGCATTTTGGCAATGCTAGATATTTCTTTTATTTAACTTTGGCAAATATATCAGGTATAAAATAAAGTTTAAAAAAAGAAAATAAACCATGGTTCACTACTTGGAAATTTTAGTTTAAAGAGAATGTATTTTCTTATTGTAATTGGTGAATCAAAAGCCAAGAGTTAACCAAACTATGAAAGGTTTTATCTAAAGGATTGAATTTATGGAAATTTCAATTTAGGCTGTATACTGAAGTGCTGGTTCTAGTGTGTCAGCTCTAAACCAAGCTTGGGATTAAATCTTGGCTCTACCACTTCTCCAGTGTCTGATCTTGAGCAGTTATTTAAGTGTGCTCTACCTTGATTTCCTCACCTTTAAAAGGGAAACATAACAGTACCTATTTTCAAGGGTTGTAATTAAAAAGCCTAAATAGAATCTGCCACATAAGCTAGTTATTATACATTTTTAAAGTAGATACGTTTATACCACATGCCAGCTATTATATATTTTTAATGTATAAACATTTTACAAATAACTATGTTTTACTTTAGTAATCAATGCCCAAATATGGCAAAATTAACAAAGAAAGCCTAGCAATAAATAACATATATCTTCAAGTGTGGAAAAGAATGTTCAAAGGGTAAAAACATGATATTATTTCAAGCTGAACTTATTAGCATTCCTTTTCTATGATACGTCCATCCTTCAATCTATCAGAGCTTGATTTGTACAAATGCCTGCATCTTTAGCCAGACATACAAAAGAAACAGACTCCTGAAAAAGTTAAATCTAATTCACTGACTATACAAACGTTATTACAAAAAAGTCATTAGTTTTTTGTTTTGTTTTGTTTTTTGAGTTGGTGTCTCACACAGTCGCCCAGGCTAGAATGCAGAGGCATGCTCATGGCCACCACAGCCTCAACCTACTGGGCTCAGGCGATCCTTCCACCTCAGCCTTCCAAGTAGCTGAACTACAAGCATGCACCACCATGCCTGGCTACTTTTTTATTTATTTTAGAGATGAGATCTCACCAAGTTGCCCAGGCTGGTCTTGAACCCATGGACTCAGGCAATCATCTCACCTCACCCTCCTGAAGTGCTGGGATTATAGGCGTGAGCCACCGCACCAGGCCATTAGTTTAAAAAGATTCCTAGAGACTGTTTATTTCAAAGCAATAGGACAAACTCCTAGTATAGCTAAGTCTTTATCAATCCCTTGCATTCTGTTGAAATCAGAATTCCTGTTTTACTAAGATTTATAGCTTTTATTAATGAAAGTACAACTATGGAGATAAGAAGGAATATGTTCAAATCACACAAGTGAAAAAAGCTTTAATTCTTACCATGTGGCCAAGGTGAGCCTTGAGGATGCCCAAAAGGTTTCCCTTTATGGGTGTAACTTGGTTTGGGTATACACCTGACTTTTCCAGGTCGATTTATTGGAAAACTCTGACCATGTTGATTTTCTCTAAAATAAAAGTTACATAATTATTAGATTACTAGATCTCATATCAGTAATAAACTTTAATACTTCAAAAAGCCCAAATTAAGCTAAGCACAGAGGCATGTGCCTGTAACCCCCAGTACCGGGGAGGCTGAGGCAGAAGGATCGCTTAAACCCAGGAGTTCAAGGCTACAGTATGCTATAATTGTGTCTGTGAATAGCTACTGTATCCCAGGCTGGACAACATAGCAGAACCTCATCTGTCAAAAAAAAAAAAAGCCCAAATATAGCCCAGATCAATACATTCACTTGAGAATATTTACTCCTCAGTGACATATTTAATATATAATAACTCTCAACAAATTAGTCATACTCACTTTTTTTCTTCAGAGAAATTGTTTGTGGTTATCTCTCCTCCCATTTCAAATTCTCCATATATTTGGCAGTTATTTATGTATTTAATCCCCAGCTTTATTCTAGAAAAGACTCAAGGGGAATCTCTAGTATTTTAAGTAAACTCCAAACTTTATACACAAGCGATCTGATTACGTCTGAGTTTGTGTTAGTCAAAGGGTGGTAATTTTTTTAAGTGAGAAAGCAGGATTCATTGAGAAGAGAAAAGCTCCCACAGTGGGAGGGGACCTGAGGGGACTGCCCAATTTTTAACACTATACTGCGAATTCATGTTCACCTTATGAATCATCAAGATACAATTTTGTATGTTTACTGACCACATATAAGAAATTTTATACATGGGTACTTTTCTTTAGCATTCTATAATTCCTACCTAATGAACCTATATCCAAAACCTCTGCAGGTGATTATTTTAAGATGAAATACTTAAATACTTAGATTCCACCTAACTCCAGTCAGGAAGGCCATCATCAATAACTCAAAAAACAACAGATGCTAGAGAGGATGCAACGAAAAGGAACACGCTACACTGTTGGTAGGGGTGTAAACTAGTACAGCTCCTATGGAAAACCGTGTGGCAATTCCTAAAAGATCTAAAAATTGACTTCTCATATGACCCTATGATCCCGCTACTGGGAATATAACCTGAGGAACTCAAATCACGCTATGAAAAAGATACCTGTAGCGAATGCCTGTAATTTCGGCTATTCGGAAGGCTGAGGCGGAAGGATCTCCGGAGCCCAGCAGGTCGAGGCTGCAGTGGCCGGGAGTGGCCACTGCACTCCAGTCTGGGCAACAGAGTAAAACTCCAACTCAGAAAAAAAAAAGAAAGAAAGAAAAAGATGCCTGCACATGCATATTTACTGCAGCATTATTCACAATAGCAAAAACGTGGAACAAATTGTGCTCTCTATTGAAAGAGGACTAGATTTTTTAAATGTGGTACATATACACGATGGAATATTACAAAGCCATAAAGAAGGACAAACTACGAACTTTTCAGCAACTTGGATGGACTTAGAGGCTATGATACTGAATGATCTTATCACAGAAACAAAGAGCTGAGTATCACATATTCTCACTCACAAATGGACCTTGAACAATGATTGTAATACTATAAGAAAGAGCGGTGGAGGGAAGGGGTGAGATTGGCAGTAGTGGGAATCTGTGGGAGGTGGGGGGACACACCTCATCCACAAGGGCACCTGCATAATGAACATTTGTATACCTAACCCTGAATTGTACCCCACATCTTTAAAAAAAAAAAAGAAATACAGTACAATACAGTATCTACAATTGAATGAGCACAACTTGGCAGTGGTGGGGATAGCAGAAGGAAAAAGAGTAGGTGGGTACTGGCTGTTTCTACAAGAAGCAGATGACATGGAGAAACAGGGAGAGCAGCTAGGAGGCAAATTACAGAAGCAAATATGAACAAAAACTAAAGAAAAGAAAACAAGACTGAACAGACATTAATTTCATAAGGTACTGAAATGCTTTGCTAGCTTAGTTAGAAATTTACACCATTTTTGCCCCTTTTTTGGTGATTTTATCAACATATATAATTTTGGGCACTACTTTTTTCCTTCATTTTATATTTTATTTTATTTTTTGAGTTAGAGTCTCACTCTGTCATCCAGACTGGAGTGCAGTGGCCGCTCCCGGCCACTGCAGCCTC